GAGAGTGTTTTTGATTGAAATAATGAGGTGTATTGAAATATAAAATTAATACAATTTGAGTAAAGAGAAGAGATAGTGGGTATTTTTGGAGAGAGAGTATCAAATAGTTGATACTTTTGATACTTTTGAAGAGAGAAAGAGTGTGTTTTTAATAATTTTATATTTAAAGAGAGTATAAAATTAATAAAAGTTGAGTAAAAAGATGAAAGAGAATGTATAAAGTTAAGTAAAAGGAAGAGAGAGTGTGTTTTTAATAATTTTATATTTAAAGAGAGTATAAAATTAATAAAGAGTAAAAAGATGAAAGAGAAAGTATAAAATTGAGTAAAAGAAAGAGAGAGTGTGTGTTTTAATAATTTTATATTTAATGATATCCATGTTGTATCAACTAATGCAGATGCTCTAACTTGTGGTCCCATATAAATAAATTGAATACGTGAAATGTTGGTTATAATTATTATAATACGCACCGTTTTGGCCACCTTCCGCGACGAACCGAAGCATCTGATCAACACACCTAGAGCGTACATCACTCGTAGCATCAAGACGACGCGGGACAAAGAACTGAGTGTTGCAGAGCCGCCGCAACATCCTCCAATGCGCACCGTACTGAGCCGTGATGAGCGACCCGTCGCTGCTCTTACCTCCTTTCATCGCCTCGTAAATCTTCCGACCGGCCAAAGCCGTGTCGTGCTTCTTGAAAATCTCTCGAGCCACGTTGCTCGAAGATATCACAACCGTAAGCATCGAGCCGAGCCGCAAAGTCAAAATTGGCCCGTGAAGGCGCGAAAGTTTAGTCAACGAGTCGTGTGGCGGTGAACCGGCGAGCTGAAACATGTCGCCGATTACCGGCCATGGATATGGGCCCGGAGGCAGTCTTGCACGACGTCGTTTGGTGAGGAGCCATGCAATGGATATGAGAATGGCAATAGATGTAAAAATTCCGATTAACTCGTTTTTCGTTAATTGTTGCATCATTTTATTTTGTTTTGATTCTGAATAGTAGTGCTAACGTTTCTATTTTATATAGACATTATTTATTAGGTTCGTGTACGTGTTAAGTAGAAAATATTTTAAAACAAGTGGATTATTGACGTTTTTGCCGAATCTTGTCGCCATTATGCATAGGAATCTTTATTCGGATAATCACTTGGAAAAGTTTGTTGTGAGTAACTTGTAAGCTAATTTATTAGTTTATAATTAAGTCCATTAATGCATATTAATGTTGGCCGAATCAACATAATATTTCCATGTGATACAATTACAAACTTAAATTTCACAAATGGTTACAAACTTCCCGGAGACAGAGGCGAGGAGTGGGTTTTAAAAAAAAAAATGAATTGTTAAATTTGTTCACCAAAAATCGTCTTTTACAACAAATGGTCCTTGCAATAGAATGTTTTGAATTTAGACTTTTAGAGGTACATAAAGAAACTAAATGAATCATAATGTTTACAAAGTTTTAGCATGTAATCATAATTAATGTTTACGAAGTTTACATATATATTACTATATAATTTGCTGAGACTCAATATGTAAATTATAGATAAGAAGAGAAAAAGGGTTTAGATGAAGCCTTGATAATGTCAATGCAATGTGTATTGTTTCGGGTTATAGAAGAATTCATTTTGAAGGAGACTGCAACACTTTTGTAAACTTAGCTAATAGCAAGGCAATGGATTTTATTTT